TAACTGCTGGTCCCTTAACTCTTATTTCTGTGTATGTGACTTTAGTTTTCCTGATATAGCACTCTCTTCAGAACTTCTTGGAGAACTGGTCTGGTGATGGTAAATTCTTTCAGGTTTTGTTTATCTGAGAATGTTCTTGTCTTCTCTTCCCATTGAGAATTTTTACACCAGTATTCATCAGGGATATTGGCTTAAAGTTATATCTTTTTGCCATATTCTTGTCAGATTTTGGAATTAAGATGATAGAGGTTGCATAGAATGAATTTGGGAGGGTTCTTTCTTTTTGAATATTTAGAAATAGTTTGAGGAGAATTGGGGTTAGTTCTTTAAAAATTTTGTAGAATTCAGAGTAAAGTCATTGGGACTTGGGCTCTTCATTGTTGAGAGACCATTTATTATTGACAAAGGTCACAAGACAATCCAGTGGGAAAAAGAAAATCTCTTCAGCAAATGGTGCTGAGAGAACTGGATATCAACCTGCAGAAAAATGAAACTGGACCCTTCTCTCTCACCATTAACAAAAGTCAAGTCAAAATGGATTTAGGATCTAAACATAAAATCTCAAACTATAAAAATACTGGGGTGAAACACGGGGAAAACTCTTGAAAAATTTGGAGTAGGCAAAAACTTCTTAAAGAAGACCCCAAAAGCACAGGCAATAGTTCCAAAAATGAACAAATGGGACTATATATTAGGCTGAGACACTCCTACATAGCAAAAGAAACAATAAGTAGAGTGAGAAGACAACCCTCAGAGTGGGAGAATATATTTGCAAACTCAACCTCAGATAAGGGACTTATAGCCAGAATATACAAGGAACTCAAGCAGCTTACCCATACCAAAAAAAAAAAAAAATTCCAATTAAAAGATGGGAAAATGAATTGAACAGACAACTCTCCAAAAAAGGCATACAAATGGCCAACAAATATATGAAAACATGCTCAACATTTCTTATCATAAGAGAATAGAAATGCAAATCAAAACCACAATGAGGGAACCAGCAGTTAGCGTAATGGCTGTCGCTGGACTCCCACGTAGTCGACCGCGGTTCACGTCCCGGACCCAGTGGCTTAAAACTCACGCCGGGCGAATGTGCGTGCGTGCCCAAGATCCCGAGAGGAGAATGGAGGAGAAGGGATTGCAGCGTGACCATCCCCCTGGGGGGTGATTTCTCGCTTTCTGTCCCTATGTCTCTCTCTGTCTGGCGAGCACACGCGCCCTATAGCGAAAAACCTCTCAAAAAAAAATAAATAAATAAATGAAGTACTATAACAGAGGGACCTTTAAAAATAAATGTTAAATGAAAGAAGTTAGTTACAAAGGACCATGTACTGTATAATCTCACTTATATAAAATATCCCAGAATAGGCAAATCTGTAAAGACAGAAGAGTAGTGGTTCCCATGGCTAGGAGAGTTGAAAGGAAAGGGGAGTCGACTGCTAATGAGTATAGAGTCTCTTTCCTTAATGATGAAAGTGTTCTAATTGGATTAAATGACCTAATTGTGGTAATGGTTATATAATGCTATGACTATATAAAACACTTCATTTTTAAAAGTTTTAAAAACACCGTAATTGTACTATCCAGCAAATTCCATTTATATTTCAAAGTTATATGTAAAAAAAAATCAAAATCATCATTCAAATTTTACAGACTTTTCTTTTTAAGTACATACTTTCTAAAAGGTCTACTACAGCTCCAGGATCTATTGCATTTTCAAATACCTGAAAAAAAAAAAAGAAAGAAAATAGATTAATAGGCACATACAGTAAAACTATTGATTCCAATCTTCTAAATAACTAACATATGTAAAATCGAGCAATATAATATTTTAAGATTCAGTAGAATCACCTTTAAGAGGTGCATGTTGCATGTTTAAAATTACAACAGATGGGACCAGCAAGTGGCACTGGATTCCCAAATGGATGACCGTGGTTCGAGTCCTGGACCTGGCAGCTTGCTTTATCACTTTCTCTATATATAATAATAATAATAATAATAATAATAATTAACTAATTCTTTTAAATAAAAATTTTTTTACAAAAAGTTCAACAGATGACTATAGAATACTTGAATAAGAATTAACGCAATAATAAGTACAAGGAAATCTAAGTTAGCTAAATCTACCACATGCTTAAAATGTCACCAGTTTGACCCAGTTCCACTGTTTGTTGCTAAAAGCACATCTCCCATCAACTTCTGTCTTGTTTGAATACCCAGAAACCCATTTTGCGTACAACAGAGATTCATAAAATGTGAAGTGGAACAAGCAATTTACTAAAAAAGAACAGATAAAGTTCTACCTACTCACAAAAGAAAAGCTAACAGCTAACAGCTACACTCCCATAGAATCCAAAAAAAAGAGAAGGCGAGGAAAAAAATCTCTTAAGTTTTACGTGTAACATGAAGTATAAGGAAAACATTGTGATATGTCTAGCCCCGGCCAAAACTGCATATTTTGCCCGAGTTAAAAGGGCCCATGTTAAGACTGAAATGAAACACATACCATACTCTTCCCCCTAAATTCTCTAACCCCTTCAGAAACAATAAATTTACTTTTGACCCAAATACAGTCCAAGGCAAAATTAAGTACTTTTTCAAAATGCAGTTTCTGTTGCCAAAGACCAGCTCACCATCTTCTGCCTCTTTTCTTCCTCATTACCCCTTTCTGATCAATTATACACTGACTTGTAACACCACTGGTAAATATAATTACGCTGTTATTTGTCTCCCAGGGCCCATGTGCATGTCTACTGAGTTCCATCCAATCCCTCTTTGGAGGGTTTGAGTTCAGGCTTTACAGTTCTGATTCAGGGACCAGCAGTTGGTGTAATGGCTATGTTGCTGGACTCCCATGTAGGTGACTGCAGTTTGAGTCCCAGACCCAGTGGCTTAAACTCACCCCAGGCACGTGTGCATGCGTTCCCAAGATCCTAAGAGGAGAATGGAGAAGAAGGGATTGTAGCGTGGCCATTGCCCCCGGGGCGTGATTTCTTGCTTTCTGTCTCTCTTTCTGGCGAGTGCATGCACCCTATAGCAAAACCTCTCCAAAAAAAAAAGTTCTGATTCGAATGATATTTAAACTTGAGTATGATTCAAATTTACTCTGAAGTCTAAAGTCAGATCTACTTTAAGTTAAAAAAAAAAAATGTAGGCTGTCCACTGTATTACATTTCTAACTTACCAACTTGTGTATATTTAACAAATGTAATTGTTTCTACCTAAATTGTTTCAATAATTGCATTCTCTCAATTCACCCACTGTTATGGGTTGAACTGTGTCCCTCTCAAAAAATTATATGTTGAAGTCCTAACCCCAGTATCTCAGAATTTGCCAACAGTCATTGCAGACAAAATCAGTTAAGTTAGAATGAGGTCATGGAATAGTTGAACTTCTAACCCAATATGAGTGGTGTCTGTTTAAAAAAAAAGAGGGGGAGGGAGGGAGATTTGAACATAAAAATTATTTTTAAATTTATACAAAATAAATTAACAGAGTTTACTTGAGAACAAAGAACGATTCATGAACTGGGCCAGCACTCAGATCCAGAAGAGTTTTAGAGAGCTCTGTTGCTACAGTATGGGCACTGAGCTTTTACAAGCAATATGAAATAAGACAAAGAAAATTTTTTTTAATTTGCAAGAGGATGCATGTACTCCTCATAGAAAAACAGAAAAAAAGGGAGAGAGCATCCCCTAAGGGGTAATGGTCACACTTCAATCCTTTCTCCCTTTCTCTATTCTCTTGAGATCTTGAGCATACACACACATGCCCAGTATGTTTTACAAGCCTCCAGGGTTGAGATCTGAACCATGTAGTCAGCCCTATGGGATCCAGCTCCAAACCACTAGGCTAAAGGACTATAGCATATCACACTTCAGCTACATGGTATAGCCTAGGTACTCTTAGGTTACAAACCATGTTACTATATTGAATACCATAGGCCACCGGTAAAGATAACATAAGTATTTGTGTATCTAAACAAAGGAAAAAAGATAATAAAAATGCCATATAGAAGATTAAGAATAGTATACTTGCATAGGGCACTTACCTTAAACCGAGTTTTTTTGGTTTTTTGGGGTTTTTTTGAGAGGTTTTCGCTATAGGGCGCGTGCGCTCGCCAGACAGAGAGAGACATAGAGACAGAAAGCGAGAAATCACCCCCCAGGGGGGATGGTCACGCCGCAATCCCTTCTCCTCCATTCTCCTCTCGGGGTCTTGGGCACACACGCACATGCGCCTGGCGTGAGTTTTAAGCCACCGGGTCCGGTTCGTGAACTGCGGTCGACTACGTGGGAGTCCAGCGACATAGCCATTACGGTAACTGCTTGTTCCCCCATAAACTGAGTTTGTAAGATTAGAAGTTGCTTTGTTAAGTGAATATAAAGGTCTAAAACATTATTGTACACTACTGAAGACTTTATAAACACTGTACACTTAGGCTACACTAAATTTATAGCAATGTATTTTTCTTTCTTCAAAAATAAATTAACTTTAACTTACTTTAACTTCTTTAATTTATAAACTTTTATTTCAAATTTTCTGACTCTTTTGTAATAACACTCAGCTTACAGTACACTGTACAGTTGCACAAAAATATTCTTTTTTATATTTTTTATTTAATTTTTTTCACTTTTTAAAACTTTTTTGTTAAAAATTAAGACATAAACACATATTATCTGAGGTCTACACAGGGTCAGGATCATCAGTATCATTCTTCCACTCCACACCTTGTCCCACTTTAAAGGCCATAATTGGGACCAGCAGTTGGCATAATGGCTATGTTGCTGCTATATCCCTGAACTCCCATGTAGTCGACCGCAGTTTGAGTCCCAGACCAGTGGCTTAAACTCATGCCGGGCGTGTGTGCATGCGTGTCTAAGATCCCAAGAGGAGAATGGAGGAGAGGAGATTGGGGCGCGGCCATCCCTCCAGGGGGTGATTTCTCACTTTCTGTCTGTCTGTCTATTTCTGTCTTTCTGGCAAACACACGTGCCCTATAGCAAAAACCTCTCCAGAAAAAGAAAAAAAAAAAGGCCATAATGAACAAAACAACTCAAGATTAAATCAAGCACAAGAGAAAATTATACAATCAAGAGTCACATTAATCATGAGATATTTGAGGCTCTTGTCAGTGTAATAAGGCATACTGTTTACAGTAAACTTTTTAAATAAGTAGGAGGGACCAGCTGGTGGTTAAGGAGCTGGATTCCCACATGGCTCACCACAAGTTCGAGTCCCAGACCTGGCAAATTGCTTTCTCACTTTCCCTTTGTCTCACCTGTCAAATTAAAAAATAAATAATAGTAACAAATTAAATAAATAAATAATTTAAAATAAGGAGTATAATCTAAAATAATAATAAAAAGTATAATAAATACATAAACCAGCTTTTCATCATCAAATATTACATACTGTACATAACTGTATGTACTATACTTTTTTTTTTTTGAGAGATTTTCACTGTAGGGCGCGTGCACTCGCCAGACAGATAGAGAGAGACATAGAGACAGAAAGCGAGAAATCACCCCCCAGGGGGGATGGTCACGCTGCAATCCCTTCTCCTCCATTCTCCTCTCGGGATCTTGGGCACGCACGCACACGCGCCCGGCGTGAGTTTTAAGCCACTGGGTCCAGGACACGAACCGCAGTCGACTACGTGGGAGTCCAGCGACATAGCCATTACGCTAACTGCTGGTTCCCATGTACTATACTTTTGTATGACTAGCAGCACAGTAGGTTCAATTACAGTACCATCACCACAATGTATGTGAGTAATGCATTGCACTACAAAGTTGGGAAGGCCATGTGTGACATCAGGAAGGCAGTGATATAACTAGGCAATGGGAATTTTTTATCTCTATTTTCATCTTGTTTTTAAATTTTATTTATTATTTTTAATCTGACAAGAGAAAGAAACAGGGACAGAGAGGGAGAGTGAGAAAGCAAGCCTCCAGTTCCGGGACTCGAACCATGATCGGCCATGTGTGAGTCAAGCACCTTAACTACCATGCCACCTGCTGACCCCTCTATTACAATCTTATTGGGCCACTGTCACATATGTGTCCTCTCATTGACCAAAATGACATTATGCAGCATATGACTAGTGGAGTTATTCTGTCATAAGACAAGGAACTATCAGAAGCTAGGAGAGAGGCCTAGAACACATGCTTCCCTAGTACCTTCAGATGAAGCATGGCCCAGCTGAAACTCAGATCTCACAACTTCTGGCCTCTAGAAGTGTGAGACAATAAGCTTCTATTGTTTACGCCACTTGGTTCGTGGTGGTAGAAAACTTACATACTCACATCTAAGGATTTTCTCAAATGTGATCTGGAGGAGTAAATGATCAATGTAAAATGACTCATACATTTTTATAAGTAATTTATTTATCTGAGTTTTTAGATTATTCCATTCTGAATTACACAAAAGCCCCGAGGAAGAGAAAATGTTTTCATTAGTTGCTGCAAATATTTGCAGCAAGAGAATGGAATAGATACAAGAAATCAGGAAGCAACTGGAAGAAAGCTGGACTACGAACCCAAACAACTCATGCAAGAAGGTAATTACTCAATTGCATTTCATAAAATGAAAAAAATGGTTATATGGTATGTATGACTATTAATCTTATAAGTATAGGTTTCAAATGCAGGTTAGTAGCATCTAAAATGTGACTCTAGGGACCAGCAGATGGCGTAATGGTTACATCATTGGATTCCCACAT